TGTTCATTTACATATACGATTGGGATTCGGGTCCGAGTTGCGATGGATTTCTTAACGATTTTTGGGTTGAGGAGCTGCTTGAGGCTGCGGTTGGGATGTCCGATAGCTGTGTTTAAAATCTTTAGGTCGCACGTGCATAGATAATATCCCTGCAAAGTTTCACCTTTCTACCTTGCCTGGTTCACGAAATCGTTCCCCGCCAACATATTTTTTTTGAGGGAACCCGTACGCGGGGTCTAGGTGCGTATGGGGGAACATCTTGAAACGAGAGGATGGGACAAGGGGTAGGAACACATACCCAAAATTTCAGCCTCCCAGCTTTCCTGGTTGCTGAGACGAAAGTGGGTGACAAAATGCACTCGCTTCTGAACACACACACACAGGCAGTCTCTCGACAATGTGCGTTTTTGCTGGCTACAGCAGCGCTATAGCGCTGCACAGCAAAAACGCATAAAAAGCATATTGTGACAACCCCGGTATGTGTGTATGTGTGTGCGTATGTATACACGTTTATGTGTGTATGTATGTGTGTGTGTGCGCGTCTGCGTGTGCGTGTGTGTGCATGTGTGTGTGTGTGTCTGTCTGTCTGTCCGTCTGTCCGGTATTTTAACTCGGCACCCAAGCAAGTTCCGGCGCCAAAATTTTGCGAATGAGTTCCCCGGCCAAGTTCCACCAGAACCGCGGTACCAATTTCCAAGCACGTTTAGGCTCCGCTTATGAGCGCGTGAAAGTCTTGGCGGGAAAATCGCTAACTCAGAGACCAGAAAAGCTAGAAAGCTGTAATTTCGAGGTTTTTTCCTCCGTCCATATAGAACTTGAAGATTTCAAATCCAGCCCCGAGATGCTCGCGTTTCCCGCGTACGGTTCCGTGAGGGTTCCTGGCGGGAAAATCGCTATCTTGAGATCCAAAGCAGTTGGGAGGTTAAAATTTTAAAGGGATATTTCTCGCCCATGTACGACTTAAAATTATCACATTCAGCATTTCGTTGTGCATGGTTCTCACGTAAGGCCCTTTGAAGGTTTTTGGCGGGAAAATGGCTAACTCCAGAACCAGGAAAGCTGGGGAGCTGAAATCTCCAGAGAATGTGTCCCAGCCCATGTACAACTTAAATTTATCAAACTCAGTCCCCAAGCATGCGTGCTTGTCACATACGGCCCGTGAAAATTTTTGGCAGGAAAATGGCTAACTCCGGAACCAGAAAAGTTGAGGGACTGAAATTTTTAGGGAATGTCCCTTATCCATGTAAAGCGTAGATAATTAACTTCCCGAAATTCGAGGACCAGTGTGTCACACATTTCTAGCGACTGGGATCCCAAGCGATCTCATTATAGCACGAAACACTGCAAAAACATATGATCGCACAGGCCCGCCTGGTGCACGTCGCCAATGATTTAAACTGGCGCATTTCGGCGCTATGCTTTCATAACAGCTAATATTTAAAAAAACACATGATCGCACTGCGTGTCGCCATTTATTCATTTCAACAAAAAAAAGAAACCAATGGAAATACGTTAATATAGCAAAATGTAAGGCACCGGAAAATCGGGCAACCGCAAATCTGTTTGTTAATTGGTCACTAAATGCTCGCTTTTATTCAGCTGTCAGTTGAGGATTTTATTAAGCCTGAAGTTCGTTTTGCGTGGAACGTTTGGAGCAAAAAATCAGTAACTCGAGTTACAGCGCTCTGAGGTAAAGAATATGAAGCAGGTGGCAAAAAATTATACCCTGAAAAGTACTTTCAAGGGAGCTAAATATGGGTTGGACTGATGGTATAATAGTCAACCTGGTACTAATTTGTCAGCGAAATCAACGCCGCACCAGTTAATCAGTACACCGGGCCGCGAAAACAAGTTGCCCCGGTATCAAACCAGGGTGCAAAAAGGAAAAAAAAAAAGGAATGCATTAGAGAAGAAAACCAGTGTACGATGACTTTATCAGTGTTTTTTTAAC